ATTAAGCTGCCTCTTCCTAAGCTGCTGCAGGACCTCATGGGAGTTGTAGTTTGGATACATGATGCTCCATTCTCCTCTATGTACTGTCCTTCCTGGCTGGACTACATCTTCCATGATGCAAAATAGTCTTCCTTCTGACTGAGCCACATGGTATATTATAAAAAAGAAAAGGAGTACTTGTGGCACCTTAGAGACTAACCAATTTATTTGAGCATAAGCTTTCGTGAGCTACAGCTCACTTCATCGGATGCATACCGTGGAAACTGCAGCAGACTTTATATACACACAGAGAATATGAAACAGTGGGGTGGGAGGAGGTATTGTTTCATATTCTCTGTGTGTATATAAAGTCTGCTGCAGTTTCCACGGTATGCATCCGATGAAGTGAGCTGTAGCTCACGAAAGCTTATGCTCAAATAAATTGGTTAGTCTCTAAGGTGCCACAAGTACTCCTTTTCTTTTTGCGAATACAGACTAACACGGCTGTTACTCTGAAACATGGCATATTATGGGACTCATGTGACTGCAGGTGCATCTTGGGCGATGTAGTTTAGCTAGGGAGCCTAACCTCTAGGGAAGAATTGGGCATTAGGCACCCAAACTACAACTGGAGAGAGTTGTAGGGGCGAAGAGAAGGCAATCCAAGGAGAAGGGTGTCATGTCATATTTTGTCAGTTTTCTCTTGAATGAAATTTGTGTGATATTGTGTAGAGAGAGAAATTGAGGGAGGAGGAGGGGAAGGTTTGAGGAGTGGGTCAAAGGTGGTAAAAAAGGCAGCTGGGATTGCAGGGATTCAATTAAGCTGGAGAAGTAGAGTTGTTTAGCTTGGATGATGTCAAGAACTGAAGGAGAACAAAACAAATTTGGAGTAGAGGAAGTCAGTCTGGTCATGGGAATTTCACCAGAGACACTCTAGCATGAGAGCAGGACTAGAGGAAGCAGATTTTGGGAGTGAATCAGAACTGGGTATTGACCGGGTGGACCTTGCAATAGGAGAGAGGGGCAAAAGTGTCAAGGATGGAAGACACTGAAACATGGAGAGAATTCGACAGCTGTATCAGTGGAAGAAAGGGAAGAAAAAGTTTAGAGGAGAGGCCTGAGGGCAGACAAGGAGGCACAGAAAGGCTGAGTGACAGGACAAAGTGGGCTAATGGGCAATGCTGAAAGAGACCTGGTGATGGGGGAACTCAACAACTGCAATATCAGAAAGGGAGCAGAGCTCTGCAAAAGCAAAGTCAAGTGAACAGCCCATTGGTGAGTGGGACATTTGAAACAGGCCTGCAAGTCAAATGAAGGTCTGAGGGTAAGCAAATGTGCAGCTAGGGGGACAGATAGGTCATCAACATGGAAGCTGAAGTCACAGTCTCCCACGCTCATCCTTGGTGAAGAGGGAGAACCAGGTATTGAAATCAGAGAGGAAGGCCGATGAGAAGATGTTGGGTGGATGGTAGGTGACAGGAACATGGAGGGGGAGAGGAGAGAAGTATTGGATGCAGTGCTGCTCAAAAGAGGAGATAGTAGGAAGCAGGAGGACTGGGGCGACAAACAGCAGGGATGTGAGAGAAGCAGCCCAACTGCCCCACCATGGTCTGATCTGGGAGAGGCGTGTGAAAGGAGAGGCTTCCATAAGAGAGGGGGCAGCTGCAGAGGCCATGTCAAATGGCGCAATCTAGTTCTCTGAGAGCCAGGAGCTGGAGAGAGAGCAACATATGAAGAGATTGTGAATGGACCAGGACAACAAGAGAAGGGAATATAGTAAGAGTGGGGGATGGATTTCAGGTTAGGAAAGTTGGCACAAGGAGTGTTACTCCCTGTGCATGCACAGAATTCATATCCCCTGCAGATTTCTTTGCTTCCCCACAGAAAAATTACTTCTGACAAGGAAGCAAAGGGAAGCCGCAAGAGTGGTCACACACCCCTCCCCAGCAGAGCAGGCACATCGTTTCAGGCACCCAGAGCAGCAGGTGGAGAGGTAAATCACAGCGGGGAGCAGGGCTTAGGATGTCCTGTCCTGTGCTGGGCCTAGCTGCTAGTTCTGGCTGGGCTGAGGGTGGGGGAAGACAGGACTTCCTCTCTCCCTTCAAGGAGCAGCTGGGGTCAGGTCAGACCTCCCCTGGCTAGCTGGAGGAAGCTCTGCACCCTCTCCCCCTTCCTGTCCCATTGCTCCTCAGCTGTGGAGGGAAGGATCACTGTGAGGGGAACTACTCCCCCTGCCCGCCACCTGTGCATCTGGATCCCCCCATACCCAGAGCCCCCCACTGAGCACAAGCCCCAACTCCCCCTAGCAACCAGACCCGCCTGCCAAGCCCCAGCCACCTTCACTTGGACCCCTCTGCAGAGTCCCATTGCCCTTGCAATTCCCTAACAAGCCTCTGTGCATACAGATCCCCCTGCACCCGCACGCCCTACTGAGCTGTCCGCGCACAGATTGCCTGACACAGAACCCTCTCACTCCACACCTGGATCCCTCCATAGTAAGTCCCTCCACACTTTGATTCTGCTGGGCTGAACCTGCTTGCCCCACACCTGGTGTAGAGGGGAAGGTCCTGGAGTGTTTCTGGGGCAGGCCTGGTCCTTGCGCTGTGTTAGGGTCAGGTGCAGCCTCAATGCCAAGTCCACGTGGAGAGGGCTGCAGGGTGATCTCCCACCTCCGTGCGGCCAGTGGCCTGTGCTCCCTACTACCATTCTGGAGTCTCCACATTTCTTTGACAAATAATATTTGCAGATTTTTAAAACACTGTGCGTAGAATTTTTATTTTTTTGGCACAGAATTCCCTCAGGTGGAGAGGGTGAGGATGAAGAATGTTGGGGCAAATGTCACCAGAGGTGAAGATCAAAGCAGAGGAGTCTAGAACCTCACTAGCACCCACTCAGCTAGCCCCTGGGCTCCTACTTCCAAACACGCAGTCCTCAACAGACCACACTGTAAACTTTAAACAAACTTAAAAAAAAATACCCAGAGAAACAAACAAGCTCCCCACTTATGCCAAGAATTAGTGTTCATGACTTCTTCAGCAGGGGATCTCCTGCTCAACAGGGGCAAGGGAGAAGAATGTGGGATTTGAGAGAGAGTCTGAATAGGAGCAGAGAGATGGAGTGGAATGAAGGGGAACATGGGGTGCAAGAGGGAGACTGAAGATCAGGAGAAAAAGAGGACAGGTATTTACAGTTTTAGCATACTCAGAGGAGGAGGGCTCCCCAGGCAACAAGCCAATATCTTTAGCCCGGTTCTTTAAATATTAACCTGGTCCCTAATATGTAACATATAGTGTAGTATATTAACATTTTATTGTAACTTTGTCTTTATAAAAAGTTAAAATTAGGAGAAGCGGGGACGGAATAACGGTTGGCAGAAAAAAAATGTGAGGGCAGTAATTATAAGGGCTGAGCTGGGGACAGGGGCCTGACTAGAGGAGAGTAGGGAAAGTGAATGGGTGAGCTAAGGAGGAAAACGGAGGTGAAGGAGACAGGATCAAGATAAGGGAGGAGCTTGGAGAGGGTAGAATGGCAACTGCCCCATTCTAATGGCTAAGAGAAGAGTCCCATTCAGCAGACAACTAGATCCCTTCATTTGACATCTTTTTATGCATGTTTCAGATTGAACTTTGACCTTGAAATACACACACTTTGGGGGTGAGTGGCTTCCCGCAAAGGTTCAAACATGTCAAGGCAAATTATCTCCTCCCTCTGAAAAAATATTTAAATCTTATGTCTTTTAAGACAGTCTCATGACTTGGGGGGGGGGGGACCTGACTCATCATTTTTTGAAGGCTTTGGAGGGACAGTACAATAGTCGGCACTGCCCATCCCAAGCATTCAAGAATCATGAGTCAAGCCCCACCACGTTATTCCTTTGCCACAGGCACTTCTCAATTAAAGAATGGTATTATTACTATTAGTGTTACTAATCATTTCTCTTACTATTAAAGGAGGTGAATTTTGACTACACCAAATTTGGATCAGAAATTTTGTTTTTGCCTGAATACAGATAGCCCTATTTGCAAAATTTGGATCCATGACTTCGGAGTTTGAAAAAATTTGGCTGAGTTCAGGTGTGTGGTCTTGCTGCTGCCCCATCCCTTGATCATTATTATTAACTAAATCAGTTCCAAATCACTCTGGCAATGCCTTGCCTCTTCTTTACTGTATTTACATCTTCCAAGTTTCTTGTAGCAATCGAAATCCTGTGCCAAACGCAACAGTGAAATGCACTATATGAATGACAAGGGTGTAGCATAGATAGATAGGTAAGCAGGTCTTGGGTGTCTGGGATGGGTAAATGAAGAAAATAGAAAGAGAGGAAAAATTAGAAAAAGATGAGAAGAAATATAGGCTGCTGGTGTATTAAGTCCACAGCCTATCATGGTCACCATTAGTGTTTCATTGTTTCCTTGCAATCCCCCAACTGTTTTTTTTCTCTCCCCAGCTGCAGTCTCTTGTCTTACACTTAGATTTTAAATGCTTTGGGCAAGGAACTGTCTTTTTGTTCTGTTTGTACAGCGCCTAGCACCCTGGGGTCCTGGTCCATGATGAGGACTCCCGGGTGCTACAATAAATAATAATAGAGATGTGGGAAAGGTGCATGGGATTGACTGGACAGAGTTACTGGTTAGAGATGAGGCGAGATAAAGAAAGAGAAAGATGAGACAGAGTGGCTGAGAGATTGACAGGGAAACTGATTAGGGAGCTGGGCAGCCAGCCAGATGGATAAAGGGATAGGCGGCCAGGCCTCCGGGTGCTTGGAGAAGTGTGCAGCGTGGGAATGATGCCCCAGCCTGCATTCAGACGTTCCTGTGTGTGTGTTCTCGGGCTGGTAGCAGCCTGGCAGGGACCTCTCCGGCCTACTCAACGCTCCCTCCCTCCCCGAGGTGCTGGAAGCTCTTCGCTCCCTCCTTCTACCGTCTCCATGCAACACTGGAGCGTGGGCGTCATCGGATTCCCCAATCGGCAGACAGCAGCGGCTCTCTCATTTGCATAGACTGCGCCGGGGGCCAATGGGCTGGCAGCTGTGGAGCCCGTCTGGAGGGCGATGTTTCCACCCGCGCGCGGGGTTCCAGCGCGGTGGGTGCCCGTGGCAGAGCCAGCGGCCGGGCTGGCACGAACAGCCGCGAAGGGACGGGCCGGGCCGGGCGCTCGGCCTGGGCAGCGCTAGGAGCCGCCTGTTGTTGGCTGCGGTGCAGGCTCCTGGGAGCGGCTGCTGAGCCCAGAGCAGCGGGCGCCGCGGGGACAGGATGTCGGTGGCGGGACTGAAGAAGCAGTTCCACAAAGCCAGCCAGGTCAGAGCAGCGGTCCCCGGGGCGTGCCCCAGCTGACTGGCATGCAAGGGTAACCCCTGCGCGCCCTCTGCGGGGAATTACCCCCTCTCACGCAGGGGTTTCCCTTCACCTTCTCTGTCCAGGTAGCAGGATTACCCCCTCCCATACAGGGTTACACTTTAACCCTCCCCTGCTGGGGGTGGTTACCCACTCACCCGGGGGGTTACCTCCAATCCCTCCCCTTCCAGGGAGAGAGTTGTCAAACTACTCTCATCGCCCCCTTGTACCCTGGAATTTATCCCTTTATTCACCCGGAAGGATGACCCCCCCCTTGAATCTGCCCTTCCTGAGGTTGGATTACCCCCCTCACCCAGGACATTACTCCCCCCCCCATGCTATTATTAATGTTAATTAATTGTTTTGTGGCACTGCCCCAATCAAGGATGTGCTAGGTGCTGTATACAGGTCTCTCTTATCCAAACTATTAGTTACATCATGTCCCTCCACAAATGGCCCCTTTACTAGTCCATCTGTGGGACTAACCTGTTGTTCTCCTGGATTTACTCTTCCATTCTGGGATGTCACCCTCTTGTCTTACAGGGGTTATCCCCTTCCAAGGAGTTTCTCCCATTTCTAGGTGTCATATTCTATCATCCATTTCTAGGGGACTTTACCACTCTCAGCTTCCAAGGAATTGCCACTTCTCCTCTTCCTCTCCCCATGGTTCATCTTTTACCGTGATCGTTTCCCCTCCTATTTTCTACCACCTTTATGTCATGTGACTCTCTTACATACTTTTGCTGATTTTCTCCAGGATATGAAACCCCCTTTGGTAGCAGGTGAATTGATTGCAGTGTATCATGAGCTGACATGAAAAGAATGTATTTTTGCTGATAGTTTCAGGAGCCATTCTCTATAGCTGAAGTGTATAGAAATCTGTCCCGTGAAGATGCTGAGCACCAGACACCTGTGTAGGTTAGATTGTTTGTTTGTTTGTTTGTTCTAAGCCCCAAGAGCTATGTAATTCGGTTTGCTATTATTAATGATAATGGCAGCACTGAAATCAGCTGTAACCTGTTGAGTCTAGTTAGGCTCAGCTTGTTCTTGCTGTGAATGGGGAAAATGAAGGTTCACTGCCTGATTTGCCTGGCTGTCATTTTGTTGTGTTTTGTTGTCTTTATTTCTAGTATCTGATGGTTTGTGAACAATGCACACACATCAAAAATGTTTGGAAGGGAGTCATGTTCTTGTCTTTCCTTGCAATAATGTCTTTTCAAGGTATCTGACTAATGATTGGATGAAACAGTGTTACGAATCTACATGCTCTGCTCAACTCTCATCATGCCCATGACAAAATGTGGAGACCCCTAGATAAAGATATTTAGGGGGTAGCTTGCAGATAGTTCAGGCTTGTTGTGCACCTTGAGTGTAAGATCTCTTATGATGATAAATGGTACAATGGTACACCTTAAGTGTGGTGCCTTCATAATACAGACAACAAAAGCCCCATAGCTGAGGAAGTTAGAGACGTAACCCACAACAAAAGCAACATACAGTGTAGAAATTGCCAGTGACAGTGTGTTGCAATCTACCCAATCCTCTTGGAGATAATGAGCTAACAGAAACCAAAGTGGTGTATGTCTGGAACAAGATAATAGAAATGTAGTGAGATGTGATACTGCACTGCTTCCTATATTTAGTACGGCATATAACTAGGACATTTTAAAAAGCACATCATGACCCAGAGCCTGATGTTACTCCTATTGTGGTCAAGACAAAGCTCCCATTTCTTTCTGTGGTGCAGGATTGAATCCATAGTATGAAGTAAAGTGACTCAAGACACCTGTGATTCTTAAGTAAAAGCAATAGTATAGCTGAAATTCCAAGGTGGGCTGGGAGCGAGGAAGGCATATTGCATCGTGTTCTCAAAAATGCTGAACAAAATCCAAGGCAGTTGTTTTAGAACAAATTCTGGAAGAATTCAGCAGCTAGTATTGGGTGACATGGAACAGGGTAAAGTAGTAGATGGAAAACAGGCAAGAGAAATTAGGAGTTTATGTATCATCAAAATTGATATGCTATCTAACTAATATGACTAACCCTCACCAATCCATCCTTCCCATGCATATTCTCATATACTTTAAACTAATTTGTAGCAGACAAACAAGGAGAGCAAAAAATAAGCCAGGGCAATAAAGAGGTTATGCCAAATGAAAATATTATGATAGAATTAAATTTAGAGAGTGTACTTATAATAATTACAAGACAAGCAAATGTGGAGCATGAACGGAATATTGCTCATAAGGGCTTTTTATTTGTAAGTGCATAAAGAATAAGAGATCATTGAAGGAGGCATAAGTATCTCTCTGTATATGGAATGAATAAGAGATGTCAAGGATAACTGTTGACAGAAGAGGTAGGAAGGCTTTGCTTGGGGGGAAAAATGAAATTAATTCTTTGCCTTAGTGTTCCCAAAGAAGGATGGGGGCAGATGACAGAAACAGGCAAATTTCCCAGAGGAGGGCGAGGAAATACTAAAGGGAATGAGGATCATGCCAGGCATGTGATAAAGAAATGAGAACATTTAAAGACTGACAGAACTTGAAGACAAGAAATCTAAAGAAAGAAGCAAGTGAGATCAGAGTCTACACTTACCAAATGCATTAATAATGTTGAAAATACAGAGATCTTGGCATTTCATGTTACAAGAGATTCTTATCCTGTTACAACAGGTGGGATATTCTGTTCGGCTGGCATAACCCAAAGCTCTCTGTTCCAGTCTCTTGAACCTGGAATTTCATTAGTATATGTCTCCATTTATTGTAAATATAACTTACAAAATTTGTCATTGAACTGCTTGCTGCTCTTGGGACCAGAGAAGACTTCAGAACATTCTATAAAAAGAGAGTGGTTTTTCATTTTCTTTCTGTGTTGCAGTTTTTACATTACCTTTCTACAAGCTTCTTGTCCGTTAATTTTACTTACAAGTTCTGAATTTCAGGAAAAAACATAATTACAAAATGTCTTATAAACCACAAACATTTGAATTGACTATTTAAATAACATGGATATGACTTTAAAATGTTAATGTAGTTTGTCAAAACTTGTGAGCAAATAAATTTTGTTTTTGTTTTGTTTTAAAGGTCCTAAATAAAAGTGGCCAGTTTTTACTGCTTTAAAGGAGTTCACAGAAAGTTGATGACATGGTCTTACTTCTTTGGTCAGGGTACTAAAAGATCCTCTTGCCTGTGGATTTGTAACTGTATTTTTTAGTTCATGATAAATGTTTGTTTCCTGAAGTTTTGCCCTATTTGAATTCCCCCCCCCCCCCCGCCGTTTAGAAGTACAAGTCCACAATGACCCTCATTTCATCAGCCCACTGTTTGGTAGTAATTTTTGATGGTTAGTGATAGAAAGCCATGAGATGTCTGTCTTTTATTTACTACATGAACTCAGCTCTTCATTGCTATATTCATTGTACTTTTGCCTATTTCAGCTTCTAGGGGCAAATTCTGCCCCACCTTATATCCTGTGCAAGCCCATTGACTTCATTCTGGTTTCAGATGGTGTAAGTAAAGTTAGAATTTGGCCTTAAATACATAATAGCTTTTTGGGGGTGGTAGTGAAAGAGTTGAGAATCTTGAATAAAACTAGAAAGGCAACAACCACTTTATTATGTATCTTATTTAGGCTGAATTTAAATACAGACAATGCAAGCAAACTGGAGCCAGGAGCATTCTCATTTCCATGTACCTCCTCTGACTGATAAGACACTTAACCAATGATGCACAAGATAGAAGCACTGGAACATCAAAATAACTCTCATTGGTCTATCATTGGCTCTGAGGGCAGGACATTTCTGAGAGCTGATTAATTCTATTATGGGCCTCATTTACAACACAGGTTTTGTCCTGTTTATTGATATATTTCCAAATTGAAATAAAAAAAAAAGCAACCTACAGAGAACTTTCCTTTTGATCAATAGCTTGTCTACCACAGTTGTAGCTTCTGTTTCCTGTTTTTTAACTCAAAAACATTTTGCCACAGTAAGTTTGTCTTACTTTTTTGTACTGCTTTTGTAATCCTTTCATATCACAGTTACATGTGTGTGGTAACCTAAATTGTGGTTGTATTTCATTTTCAGGTTAAGCTAGGAATGTTTTTTTAGAGAGAGGTTTCTGTTTTTAATAAAGCTATAAACAGAGATGGTGCATCATGTACCTTAACACTTAGGAGCTATTATTATTTATTGAGCTCCAGAACTGTGTAAGGCCCAGCAGCTGAATATAAGGAGACATGAGCTGGTATTTTCAAAGGGGCTGGGCACCACTCAGTGGGAGTTGAGTGCCTCATGCCCTTATTCTCCTTTGAGAATTAATGCCTTGGTGTCTGAGTCAGGGAGCTTTCAATTGAACTCTCAATACATTTTTGGCTTTTTAAAAAATACACTATAATTATAAAACCTGTGGTTAGTGCAGGAGTCCTTATGCAACAACATCTTCTGTATTTACAGCCTACTCAAACAACTCTGCTTAAATAGTTATCAAGTATATTCCTTGCATTGGCTTCTGAAAGATAGCAGTAGTAGATGTTAATGATTGATGCCCAAAGACTAATGATGATTCATCTAACAACGTCAAAGGAAATTTTATCCTGTGATCTTGTCTCTTTATATGCCCTTAATGACACAAACGTCTCTCTAGGTAATGGATCTGTAGCAAATATTTTTGAAGGCCTCCTTGTATTGATTGTACGGTTTGCTGTCGCCAATGCCTACTTTCAGGCCAGAGGCTGATCTCTTTGACATTGTTCTAATTACACTGATTTAAGTGGACTAAATCAGGAGTAACTCTAATGTAAGTATGATCAGAATCAAGAGCTTAGTTACTTCCTTAAGGAAGAATGTGTCTCTGTATGTCTTTCTTTTCCTCTTTCTTTAATGTACGTATCTCAAAGGTGGATGACATTAGCCTGCATGTAACACCCCCACTTGTTATACCTTTATTTAAATCAGGGCTGAC